AAACTGCCATTAGATCTTGGCTACAGACACCTGAGAGCTCAAATTTTTTTCTCAAATGTTCAGCCTGGTAGGAGAAAATAAATAAATAAATAGAGCATCTATTGAAATATGAGTATCTGCTAAAAATAATATTTAAGTAATAAAAAATCTGTCGGATTAATTAAAAAAAAAAAATCCATATCTATCTTTAGAAATTGCTTTGTTTATGTTAGGGTATGTAACTAAGCAGATATGTCTATTTCAAGAACCGGAGAAAAATTTGTGTCTGTGTCATATATATATATATATATATATATATATATATATATTTATTTATTTATTGAACAATAAAAAATATTAAAAAATCAAAATCTTTAGACACACTGAGTTATATATTAATATTCTTTTGTTTTTATTATTATTTCATTTATTCCTCGGCTAGTTTCGGCCAACATGGCCATCATCAGGAGAAAAAAAATATTTCTGCCTGCTGGTAGCAGTGAACTACAGAAATGAATGTCTTGATGGAGAAAATGAACTTTTGTCTGTAGTTTTCATTTGTTTTGTTTTTTATTATATATATATATAAGAAATAGTTTTAAGGTGTGCTATATTTATGGGATAAAGTGCTTAATATCAGAGATAGAGCGTATGCCTCTGTGTGTTGACTTCAATGTTCACATATATATATATATATATATATATATATATATATATATATATATATATATATCTTAAGGATTATAGTAAGCTATTTACTGTATTAAAATGCTAAAGATTTTATGATGCAAAATGTCTGTCCTCAAAATTTTTGTATTTGAAAAAATGCCAAATATGGACCAAATTGTTTAACAGAATTGTGTCACACTGCTTTACCTAGTCTGACACAAGGATGCTAGTATTGGGAACCTATCAAACATCAAATTCCTTATAATAGTAATAGACTGCATGGGTAGCTAGTTAACTATGGTTTGATGGAAAGGCATCTAAAAATATTTACTAAATTTAGTCTGGCACAAGGGCATAAGTATAGGGAAGCCCACTGAAAGTTGTGCTCACTATAACAAACTGACCTTCAAACCAGTGTCCCATTTTTAAGACATCTTGATTTATTTTTGTATTTTTAGTAGATCTGTATTTTCTGAATAGTTCATGAGTGTATCAAGTTACTTTTTTTTCACAGTATGAACTGAGCTGTTAAAAACGTTTTAGTTTACATTAAAAAAAAAAAGTCATTGACAGAAGTATCAATAGAATTTGAAATTGAGTGATTTGATTTCTTTTGTAGAAGTGCCATTTTTACCAATGGATTACTTTGCTTATATATATATATATATTATTATTTTCTAGATTATTCACTGACATATACAGGGTACAATGGATAAATTTTCATGTAAATTATTCAAAAATGAAAATAACAATGACATCTCATTTTAATATATATATATATATATATTTGCCATTGGCTTCAACTACAGCTCCCGACATCTTTGGAATCTCCTGCATCTTGTCTGTATGGTCTCCTTGTTTAAGTTGGTGAATGCTGCCATAATACTTGCCTTCAGTTCATTTTTGGTGTTACAAGGAGTTTTGTTGGCTTCTTGCTCAACTGCACCCCACACATAATAATCAAGGGGGGGGGGTGCAATCTGGGAGTTCAAATATAATGTGGCTAAATGTAAGGTGTGAGAAATTGTCTGACAGACATGCCTGGTTTCTCCTGCTTGTGTGGCATGGTGCAGAGTCCTGTTGCCGGACATAAGTCTTTCAGCAGCCACCCTCTTGACCCAGGGCAGCGCTACCTTCTCAAATCACTTGATGTAGGCCTCTGTGTTGAGTCTTTTGAGACCCTGTGGGAAGATGAAGATGGAGGCATGACTTTGCCTTCACTAGTGATCACGTCAAACATCTTCGTAATCACCATTCGACTCATCCAGATTTTCAGCACTGTCCTCAGATTGACACCCAAATACTCTAAAATGTTTGTATTGGAGCTTCCAGTGCAAATGTCAAGCAGTACAGCCTGCTGTTTCCAAATTTCTCGCCGAGTGAATTGTGTCATGGTGCTTTTTTTTTCCCCAGATGCTGCACAACTGACCTTACTATACTTTTGCAGTTGACCAAATCAAAAACAAACCATGTACATGTGCAAAATTAAAAATATAAAACATCAGCAATTTACCCATTGCATCTTGTATATATAAAACAAAAGCTAATGCCTAAAATGATGGTCATAAGTTCAAATAAACTAATCCTATTTTTTCTTGAATTTTTTTTTTCTTTTTTAAAAATTTTAATTATAATAATTTATAAAGTTTTAAATCTTTTAAAATTCTGTATTAATTTGTAGCGGTTAGGTGATATTGTTATTAAGTAAAAACTATATTTACTAATCATAAATGTGAAATCTTACTACAATTCAGTGAACCCCAATATTTTAAAAAGAATTTTGAATTTTTTTTCTGTGTATGTATAAACATGCCAATTCCTGTAAATACACAAAATAATCAGAAAATAAGAGCAGTAACTACAATGAAATTTAAAATTTATTGGTAACTTTTTATTGTCTACTTAACAAGCATCTTAAGGCTATAAAGCCGACATACCTAAAATTTAATAAAGTATGGGATTACTTAGAATCTTTTCTTAAATTTTAAAGATTACTGGGTAGTTAAAAAATTATTTAAAAATGGTATTACCATAAGTGTCACTGTTCCCCCCCCCATTCTCAAACATGAGACTCTCTTGAGAGTTGTCTACACCCTGTAAAAAAAAAAAAAACCTTTCACCTCACCTCTGTGATATTTAAACTAAAAGTAATATTTGTTTCAAATCAGATTAAAAAAAATTAAATCATCTAATCTTCCTAAAATTCCTGAAAGTTTCAGAAAAATATATTTTATTTTTGAAAGATTTTTTTTTTTTTAATAAAGAGAATTCTGTTGTGCTGACAGATTTCTAAATATAGATT